AGGAGTCCTTTGTTCCTTCAGCTTACTTAGGCTGGGAGGCGCATTCCTCCCTGCTGGGAAGCAGCCTTTGAAAGGGAAGCTTGTGCCAGACTCCATAAGGAGAGGGTGTGTCCCTGGGAGCAGGTTTTGGGGGAGTTGCCTGAAAACCTTGGTCAGCAGGGAACTTGGGGCACCCTGCCGTGAACAGGACAGTCTGTGGTGACAAACCAGCCAGCTCTGCAGCATCCTGGATGCGGAGTTCTTACACACTGTCAGCTGCCTCACCGGTCCTCCCTGGACAGGTGGCCACTCCTGAGGGTGGCCCAGAATCCTGGCCAACGAGGCAGCCAGGCAGGGCCCCCACAGGAAGGTATCTGGCAGAGGGGAGCAGGGAGGAGAGGAAGAGGAGCGAGGGAGGCTGTCACCTCTTCCACATTCCTGAGTGGGGAGCCCCAAGAACCCTTCCAGAACAAAGTGCCCCAAGTGGACACAGGGCAACGGAGGGCAGGACAGGACAGGGCAAACCCGGGGCACAGCTCGGGTCCAGGGAAGTCCCATGACTGCAGTGTTTAGCTGCAGGTTTCCCAGCTCTCCGCGCAGGGCGGTGGGGGCGGGGAGGAGGGACCGGGAAGAGGAGGAGGGAAGTAAACACGAGACCACAGAGAGAGCCAGTTCCCCGCGTAGAGAGAACACTAGCCGCCTCCGGTCCCCGGTGGGTGGCTGTATGTGTGGAAATGAAACTGGGAGGAGGAGAGAGAGGGGGAAGAGCGAGCACGCACTTCTCGGCTGTCATCCACCTCCTTTCCCGACCCTCCAGCCCACTCCCCTCCCGGGTAGGGGGCGGGGGGAAGGTGGAAGGGAGACGGCTCACCGGGCGCCCTCCCCCAAGCACGAGTAGCTGGTTCAGCTGTCGGTGAATCAGACACTGTCTCAGCAGCTTGTCACCTGCGCTCGGGAGGGGAACAGAGGGCAACCTTGGAACTTGGGACGGGGGAGGCTGGGGAGGTGGAAGATCCAGCGCGGGTTGGGCCTAGGCCAGGGGAAAAGGGGTGTCCACCTCCCACACCTGCACACACGTCTGCCCCGTTCCCCTGACACCGGGTAGAGGGGTGGGACAAGGGCACGCAGGCCCTACGACCGCAGGGGGCTTGCAGGCGGCGGCGGGGCCGAGAGGGGCGGGAGGCACTGCGCGAGGCGCGGGGGTGCAGGGCCGGCGCGGCCGCGGGTAGGCTGCAGCCCGGCCGCCCGCGCGGGGTTATGCGAGGTACCGCGAGCCAGGAGGAGGGAGGCGCGGGGGCCGCGGGCCGGGGTGTCTGGCACTCGTTGGACAAAGAGATGATGAAACGTGAGCGCTATATTTACCAAGGGGGTGGAGACGGGGCGCGGGGCGGGGGAGTAAAAAGGACAAACTGTTCCACAACAAGCACAGGAAACACTGCCCATCTGACTCACCGGGGGCCGCACCGACCCTTAGCCGGGAGGCGGCGCGGGGCTGGAGGGCGGTGCTCAGGACCGGACCGGACCTGGGCGCTACGCCGGATGGGTTGATCTACACATAAGTCACATTCGATCCAAGCGTGCGTGTGTGCGTCTGTGTATCTCTCCTGGGGTAGGGGATTGCGGAATGGCAGGAATGTTTCCTAACCCGGTGGCCGGGCCATCGCAGCCTGCAAACTAGGAGAGCACAATTCCTGCAAAGTCATCTCCTCCAGCACAGCCGGCCGGCCGCCCGCCCGCCCGCCCGCCGGGGGACAGCGCACCCGCCTCCCCCACCGTCTCCCCACCCGCGTGCCCTGCTCGCAGCGCTCAGAGTTGGGTGCGGTGCTGACTATGTTTAGAAGCTGATGTCATCTCGACACCTACTCTCGCAGTGTTCCCAGGGGGACCGCAGGGCAGGTTTTCTCTTACTCGCGGCGTGGGGTGGAAGGTGGCCTGTCCTCTCTCCTCAACACACACGCCCCACACCCATCTTACCCGGAATAAAAAAAAAAAAATGCAACGCCGCTGGAGTTGTTGAAACAGAGTTGTGGGGCGGTGCGTGCGCGCGGAGGGCGCACCGAGGGCTGGGCCGTGGGGCTAACAACCGGCCGCCCGCCGCCCCCTCCCGCTGGGGAGCGGGGCTAATTTCAAGTTAGCTCACGTGGCGCGGGCGCCGGAGCTCCTTGCACGAGTTGGCGGGTTTCCGAATCCCCCAATCTAGGGCAGTTTGTTCAACTGCAGTAAAGGGAGCTGGATGTTCCAGCAGGGAAGGGATTTCTGAGAACTGGGACTGTCCTCAGATGAACTCGCCTCCTCAGGCTGCTGCTGCGGCGGCGGCCGCCTGCGGAAGACTTTTTAAAAGGGCGATGCCAGGCCCGCGCGCGCGGCCCGCGAGTGGCTGAGTCGCCCGCCAGTCTGCGGCCGGGGCCGAGCGCCCGCCCCCGGGCGCGGGTGATTCACCGAGCGCCGCGCGGGGCCTCTCCGAGCGCGGGGGGCTGCGAGCTAAACTTATCCTCCTGCATATGCATGAACGGGTGGCCTTTCTGCTCTGCTAAGGAGAGGGCTGGAGTTCTGCGGAAGGCTGCTAAGTGGGGCGGGAGCAAAGTAGGGCGTCGGGCAAGTTTTCGCGCCTTCCTGAGCTCCCCTCCCCTCCAGCCCCTGGGTGCTAACTGCCATGATGGCCTCGGGGCGTTCCTCCAGCGCTGGCTTCACCTGCTTGCATTTCAAATCCAGGAACAACGCCATTGTTGGAAGCCCGATCCCTTTAGCTCCGCTTCTCCCTTCCTCACGCTTGCCACCTCCCCTAATTCCCCTGCTGTCATTAAAACGAACACGGATTTCCACCGAATGTGTCCCCTGTGCCTAGATGGGGTCGCTGAACCCGGAGGGCCGGGGCCCTGAAAGGGGGAGGGCTGGATGCAGCCCAGAACGTGGTCCGGCACGTGATCGCCTACCCCCAGCGGGCCATCTGTTCTCCTCCTTCCTTCCCGCCTGGAGGCTGGCAGTTCTGCCCCGCACGGTCCACGCCTCCCAGCAGGAAAGAGTGAGAAAAGCCAGAACTGGCAGATCCCAGTACCTATAGACTGTGATTTTAGCCTGAACTTCCCTGGGCCTTGGGCAGGGACGCCACCCGGCAATCTGTATTTTAAACTGAGCGCCAGGTGATCAGCTGCACCCGGCAAGGTGGTGGGGAAGCCCTGCCTGGGGCTCAGTCCGAATAAACATCTCCCGGGGAGGAGCCTCGGACTCTGCGCTGCCTTCGCCAGCAAACACCATATTTCGGGCTAGGGTGGAACATTTACCTTGGAAAAAGAATAGATGCTTTGAGCCTACAGGCCACTTCCCACAAACCAGCTTGAAGAAAGAAAAAGCGAGACCATGAAATTAAGGAAGAAGAGATTTGGAACAAATTTATATTTGTGCCTACTATCCCATTAAGTATTGGTTTAAGGTATTCTGACCGTCAATGCCATAAAAGGGCAGTGAGGTGGTATGTAAAAAACCCAAGTCTTGCCCCCCGTTTTTTCTCTTGGATTTTCTTTTTTTTTAGATCCTTTTAGTGCTTGGAGTTTGGAAAGGACTATGGAGACATATTAATCTAATCCCATCTATTTGCAGATAAGGAAATAGCTCTCAGAGGTTGCCTGAGGTCACATAGCTCATCTCAGACCCAGAGGCCAGTTCCCCACCCTGGCCTACAACCTGCTGTAGGAAACAGCTCAGGGTAGGCACTAACTAGTCTTACCAGAGGAGATCGTGATACCAGTGTTTAGTTTAGGCTACACAGAATACAAGGTTTATCTGTTCTAACTACAGGCCCATAAGCCATTGTTTTGAGAACTTGGATAATAAAGCAAAGGCTTTTGGGTAGAATTTAGAGCAGAAAACACATAAACTAGAAGCACGGTTGTCTACATTTTCATTGCTCCTTCCAGTTGGTTTGTATGGATTCAAAATGTGTATTTACAAAGACTAACCTGGGGGAAATAGGCCTCTTATATTTATGTGGCATAATATATACTTCAGTGGTAAATTATTTTAATTAGGAATGATTCATATTAATTTGGGATAATTTATTTTGCCAAAATATAATTGATACAACCACATGCTGGCAAAACAGTGTAAGCTGGGATTTTTAAATCATAAAACTATTATAATACGTGTCCCAACACAGCAAGATTTCATTGTTGAAAATACAAGAAAAAAAATCCTGATGTAGGAATTATTATTGTGTCATGATATATGTTTTTCTATATACATTTGATTTTTAGCATATAGGCCAGACTCCATAGCATGGAGGACAGACTCCCTTTTCATTTCTGCATTCCCTCGTGCCTGGCTCTTTGCCAGGAACATGAATATCTGGAGAATGAATAAGTGGAAAAGGAGAGAACATTGTACCATTCCAAAAGATATTCTAAATTAACTCGAGCAGCAGTTATGTTTGTAAATGTATAAGAGCAATTCATGTGGATGAAATCTGTTTTTTTCTTATTACTTTCTTTTACAATTCTGAAATGAGTTGGAAGAGTTCAGGGTTTATGTCTAGTCCAATCAAATTGAAATTAAAGGGGAAAAAAGGGCAAGGAGTAAGGGAAGGAAAAGTTTATACATTTTAAAAACCTAAGGTGATTGATGTATTCAAATTCCTGGATTACATAATCTTCAAGGAAAGATACAGACTTTTCTTCTTTTCTGAAACAATCCTGATGTTAACCCTAGGGCTATCTATAGATGCCCAGCCCTGAGTAGTCTGTTTTACTCTTGCAATGCCAGTTAAAATGCAAGTGTGAGAGGCTGTACAGGCCATGATCATAGGCATCCTGGAGAGATCCCACTAGTATTTGTGCTGGACCTTCAAGAGGCAAGCAAAGGTGCAATTTCTAAGTGATCATGTATCCTTGGGGACAGAATTTGTCCCAGAAAAATCATGAAGTAGGCAAACTCCCTTGGGCTTCAGTGAATTCTTTTCTAAAATTAAGGGGATTAGACTGCAAGAACTCCAAGATGGCTTCATTTTTTACATGCTATGATATACTTACCTTACAGGCATGTTGTAAAGATGCTTGCAGGGTGTTAAGTATAGGGCCTGGCACAGAGTAAGCCCTCCACAAAAGAGGGCAGAGATAATGATGCTAATGGTGATGATATTCTTTCTTCCCCATGCAGTCACCTACAGCAAGATCTTCCCTATATCCTTTAAAAGTAAAGTAAAAATAAATTACCTTAGACTTCAAATAGGGAGAGTTAATTTGGGCCCCCTCCCTTGGAAAACAGGAACCTGGTGTCACTTTCTCTTAAAGGTTAAACAGCCAGTGGGAGTCAGGGTTGGCTCTCACTGAATCACATAGAAGCAGGTATCCCTCACACTCAGGAAAGTGAATGTATTTTTAATTAATCCTGCTGACAGTATGCTTCCTGCAAGAGACACTAGCCCTAGATTCTTTCCTCAGCTACCAGATGGAAAACAACCCCATCATTCATTCAGAGGGAGAGACAAACTGAGTTAATCAGACTCCAAGACCCATACTAATTGTTGATCAAGTAATGCCACAATATTCAATTAAGGATCCCTGGCTGGTTCCAGCTCTTAAGAATCTGTTTAGCATAGTTAATATTTCACAAAACCAAAGGGTCCAGTTGTTATAAATTACAAAGAGCTAGACATCAGGAGATTTGTGGTTTCTATTGAGTCCTGTCATTATCTGTCACTTCTCTGTGTCTCAGTCTCCACATTTGTAAAGTGAGGGAAGAAAAATGTTCCCTAACAACCATGCTCTGGAAAGAAAACAAGCTAAGAATGGTGGGGTTTTTCAGAAGTCATACAAATGAACAGTTTTTGTTTCCATTCATCTGAAGGCGGATTAAAACAGCTTCAAAACAAAACTAAAATAAGTTACTGAGGCTACATTGCAGCAGGGAAGCAGAGGAATTAAGAGGCATGACAAAAGCAAAGATGGGGTGCTTCAACGTAAGAATAGGGGACAGTACAAAGACTATACTTTAAAACCAGAACTTTCCTTAGATCTGAATTTTTAATGAAGATGAATTGGTCACAGTTAATGTATTGGATGGAGGAATTTTTAAACGTCTGCTCTCAAAGTATGCTGCATCCAAAAACAACACCAACAGCAAAACGAATTGATGCTTTCTCATCTGTGTTTATTTTTGGACAACTTGTCCTGACATATTGAGGGCTTTCTACAAAATTATAAATTCACACTGCATTTATTCATCACCCCTGTCCCCCCATCCATATCTCGATTTTACTACCAGCAACACAAAATACAAAGATGTGTCCAGTTTCACTACACAGCTCTTTGCGTTCGCAAGTGTCGAGAGCTTGCTTTCGGAACGCCCTTCTGATTGGCCGAGCCGATGCCAGTGACATCAACCGACTTACTTTTGATTGGAAGGCTGGTTGCTGGGACTGTAGCGTTTGCAGGAAGTCACTTAACTGTTTGCGAGCTGGAAAACCAAGGCTGAAGTTCTTTTCCGTCAGAGGAACGAGCGCAACTGACTAGGGAGATGTGTCCCAACGCCCCTCGAGCCGGGACGTGAGCGGGGGGCCCCGGCCGGCTGGGGGGGACGGAGAGGCGCTCGCGAAGAGGAGCGGCGGCCCCTGCCCTGCCTCCGCGCGGTTACCCTTTTAACTGCCCGCGCCCGGGGCCGTGGGGGTAGCACGAGGCAGCGAGACGGAACAGTCGGATTGGCCGCTCGCCTCGCTCCTGGACGCACCTCTCCACCGAAGGGCCGTGCTGACTGGCAGGGGGAGAAAGTAAACAGAGTTGAATCACCCTCCCCGCCGGCCAATTGCAGGGGGTTTGGTTTGTGACGTGATGGGATTCTGCGAAATTGTTACTGAGCGAGAGAATGCCGGAACGGCGCGGGCCGGCCGGAGCTGGGGCTCGGAAGCCGTGCGCGGACTCGGGGGAAAGTGCGTCCTAGAGGCGGCGCGCGGCGCGGCCCGAGCCACCCGCGTCGGGGTGCTTGGGTGAACGTCCTAGCGCTGCGGCTCGACGAGAGAGGCGGCCGAGGGCGTGTTCCTCTCCTGCAGTTTCCTCAGCCAGCGCCTCGGGGGCGTTTTCAGTCGAATAAACTTGCGGCCGCCACGTGTGGCGCCTTTCCAAGGGAGCCGGCGCGGAGGGGCCGGCGCGCCCGTCGGGGGATCGCGGCCGGCGCGGGGCAGGGGCGGCGGCGAGCGGCGGCGGCGCGGCGGAGCCCGGGGCCGTGGATGCTGCGTGCGGAGGCGCTGCCGGTTACGTAAAGATGAGGGGCTGAGGTCGCCTCGGCGCTCCCGCGAGTAGGAAGCGCCCCGCGCCCCCGCCCCCTTGGCCGCCGCGCCGCGCCGCGCCGCGCTCGTCGTCCGAGGCCGGGGCAGGGCTAGCTCGCCGAGCCGCCGGAGCCACCGCCAAGTTTGGCCGCGCCGCCGGGGCTGCTGTCGCCCGCACCATGTCCGCGGCCGCCTACATGGACTTCGTGGCCGCCCAGTGTCTGGTTTCCATTTCGAACCGCGCTGCGGTGCCGGAGCATGGGGGCGCTCCGGACGCCGAGCGGCTGCGACTACCTGAGCGCGAGGTGACCAAGGAGCACGGTGACCCGGGGGACACCTGGAAGGATTACTGCACGCTGGTCACCATCGCCAAGAGCTTGTTGGACCTGAACAAGTACCGACCCATCCAGACCCCCTCGGTGTGCAGCGACAGTCTGGAGAGTCCGGATGAGGATATGGGATCCGACAGCGACGTGACCACCGAATCTGGGTCGAGTCCTTCCCACAGCCCGGAGGAGAGACAGGATCCTGGCAGCGCGCCCAGCCCGCTCTCCCTCCTCCACCCTGGAGTGGCTGCGAAGGGGAAACACGCCTCCGAAAAGAGGCACAAGTGCCCCTACAGTGGCTGTGGGAAAGTCTATGGAAAATCCTCCCATCTTAAAGCCCATTACAGAGTGCATACAGGTTAGCGGCGTCGCCCTCTCCCCCGAGCTCTGGGGTTAGTTAACCTTTGGCCGGGCAGCCTTCCTGGGCGTTAGGGACCCCGCGCTCCGCCGAAAGGGTGCAAACGTTTTGGACGAGATGCGGTTTAACTCTTTAAATAATTTAACTCTGCAGAAGCGGGAAGCTCACTCTGCTTAATTGTCCCCAGAGCCGCGGAGAGCCCTAAACCGGCGAGCAGAGCCAGAGCTGTGCGTGGCTCGCGGGGAGCGGGGCCCGCCCCTCCCCGTCCCGCCCCGCCCCCGGGACTCCCGCACCCGGCGGCGGTGGGGCCACCCCACCTGGGAAGACGCTGGCTGGGGGAGTCAGATGGCGTATCTTTTATTTAATTCCCTCGTCGGGTTGCAGAGAAGTGGCTGCAACCTAGGGGGGAAGCGGCGCACTTTACTTCGAGCCTTTTAGGGATGACTAAGGACTCATTTAGCTGGATGTCTGCTACTTTTCAGGGCTTGCCAAGGTGGTTTTAAATTTGGCCAAGAGTCCCCTGAGAGGTTTAAAATAACACTGCTTCAGGCAGCAGGGGAGTTTGAGTAAGTAGTGGTGGGCTAACTTCACGACTGGTTAGCCTTCCCAAAGAGCTAGATTTCAGAGCTGATTTTTTTTTTTTTTTTTGCCATGTGAGATAGTCTATCCAAGAGGCAGCTGTATGAGGCTCTATTAGGAAGTGAGCACGCAAGAGGGAATTTGGGAATGTTAGAGCTGCAATGAGCAAGGGGGTGTGGCAGCGATTTAGCTCTTCAATCTTCACAGAATGCAGACACTCCAATGCCCCTCTGTCCACCTTCTGGATTTAACGCAGCAGAAAAAATCAGGAAGCTCCTTCCCCCACTTCCAAGTGAATCTAACTTGAAGCTATATTTGAAATGCCAACACATGAGACTCTGAAAGTCTCTATTTAGAGTCTCCTTACATCCCTTCTCCGGCAGGAGTATGCTTCTGAGTATTAACGAGGCTGAGATTTTGTTCAGCCATGCACTAGGATTACAGAGACACCCCCCCCCAAACATAGACACTGCAATCACCACATCACTAGTGTCAAAAGACTGACTGCAGTATTTAAACTGGATGAACATCTCACTTCGTTTTCACTCTTGACTGTGCAAAAGTTCTCCTGAAACAGCTGAGCCGAATGCCTTGCCTTATGGAGAATTAAGAGCAGCACGCATGCACGCACACATAAGCAGCCATTTCTAAATGCCTGAGAAAAGCACTCAGCCGAATGGCCCAGAATGCTGGAAATCCTGTTCCTCAGTCCAGACTCAGGTGGCTCCCAGAGGCACTGCAGGCCTCCCAGCTGCACCACCGGGCAGCTCCTGAAGGAGAAAATGCCTTTGCTCAAGGTGGCAGTGGTGTCGATGAGAACAACTGAACTCGGGAACATGGCTGACAGCCAGGCCCCACAGCTGTTGGTGAGTAACACCCTCCAGTTAATATACCCCTACTTCACCCCCAGAACCCGATAGGTCACATCCTCCAATGCAGGCACACGCCTTTCAACAGCCTCACAGACACAAACTTTCAAATGTGCTGTTTGTGGCAACCCAGATGAGGACTCCAAACAGAACCTGATTTTGCATTAATACGGAGGAAATCGTTTCATCCCAGTGCAGCAGCCACCTCCACACGCACCAGTTTCCAAAGGAATAAAATAGGAGAGCAGTTACGTGGCCTTTCTCTTAAAATGCAAGGCAAAAAAAAAAAATTCCAACCATTTTTAAAACCCGGCCAGGGCCTCATCTTAAAAGTATCAGACTATTACACCAAAAACTACAATACTTTTCCAACTAATTCCAGCAGCACCTCTTTAAAACACGGTGTCATAACACAGAGAGAAAGGCTTAAGTGGAGGGCCAAGCCCCAGCCACCTTTTCAGAATCGCATTTGTAAAAGAACCTTTCTGAAGATGATTAGACAATATGTCAAATGTGAATGCTTCCAACTTTTTCTGTGCATATTAACAGAACGACATAACTGGCTGACCAAGGTCCCTGGAAGCCTCCGAAGCCCATTTCATAAGAAAGATGTCTTCTAGCCCATTCACTAGTCAGCCCTGCCTCCTGTCCTCCCAAGGGACTCTTCCCTAGACCTCCAGAACCGCCCAACATTCATCTCTGAGCCTTGACCTCGGGCAAGGACCACACCTCCCTGCTAATCGCCTGATTCAGGGGTGGAGGGTTGAGAGACCTTAGT